TTTCCTGGCTAAGTGAAGACCAACTTGGGCCTTGTTGATGATCTTGAATTCTTATTTATCTTTGCCAGTAGTTTCTGGGGCCTGCTAAGTAAGCACATTAAAATGCCAGTGAAAATTTTTGCTGCTTTGTTGAACCTTGCTGGCAGATTCAATTGGGGGGAAAATGGGAGCACATGGACCACAAAATATATAATTTGTAACTGTCACATTGCACTGTGAAGAATGATCTTTTTTGAGGCTGCTAAGTGGGTGCCTTCCATAATGGAAGAAATAATGCCACAGAAAGGGGAAAAAAAATCTCACTGGGAACCGTCATTCCCTTTGTGTTCTTGGTGAGTTTAGCATGCATTCCTAGTCTTAATTCCTGTGCCATTTTAAAATGAATTCCTTCCGTGGCCCTTCTGCCTGCATTGGAAAGGTTGCCCATGGAAGATGCTGGGCAAACACAGCTGAGATGCTTTTTAGCTCTGAGGTGGCATTTAATGGCCAAAAGAAGGCCTTTGTCATCAAGGGAAGAAAAAGATGTGCTAACCAAACCAAACAGATGAGATAAGAGGAAGAATCGGGTGTTTTCTACTGAAGCTGCTCAGTTAAATTGAAAGTCAGTCATGTCCCATTCCAGTGGTTTCCCTCCTTGACCCTTGGGCTGCATGCTGGCAGGAAAACTATGGAAGGCTGAGTTTGTGACTAGTGAGAAAAAGGGAAAATCCAGGTGAATGAGCAGAAGTGCACAAGACAAGGAGAAAAAAACCCACTGTCAGTAGTCCCTGCATGATCTTTTTTATTATGCAAAATGCCATCCATTATATATATCACATACATGTCAGGTAATAATTCTATAATGAATTATTATGGAATTGAATGAATGAATGAATGAATCCTACTAGCTTTCTAATGGAACATTACCAGGACCTTTGAGGTCCTTTGTGTGTCTTTCCCAAGGATGATCTAGTCTCTTTTTTGCAGTTGTTTCTGGTTTCACTCCATGAGTTTATATCTCTGAACTATGGTTTGATTAGCTTTTGAAACTTTATATAAATGGAATTATATGAATTAATGCTTGCTTTTCACTTGACGTTGTGTCTCTGAGATTCATCCATTTATCAGCAAGTAATTCATTTTCATTGCTATATAGTATCCTCTTAATGAGTTCACTACCATTAATTTATCACCATCATATTTTCCATGCTGGGTTCTTTCTTCCTGAAGAATTTCCTGGATAGAACATTCGTGTGTGTTGAGGTTGGAAGGAATGTCTTCCATTTCCATTACTTTTGGAAGGTCACATAGTTAATCCTCCTGAGCCTCCATTTCGTTATCTCTAAAGTGATCCTGGTAACATCAACCTTTCCTGTTTAATACAGAAATGGATATAAAACCATTAAAAAAATTAAAGCCTAAACAGTGATCATTAGTGGATGGAGAGAGGGTGGTTGAATGGATCTATGAAGATAAGGAAGAAGCTTAACCACTTGGTTCATACTGAGCTATTTCTCCATTCCTTTAAGTCTTAGTTCCTTGAAGTCTTGAGCTTCAAGTGTAGCTTCAGTGAGGGAGCCCGTGTACAGAATGGAGAAGAAATAAGTTTTGAAGGATGCAGTTCCTACTCTAAATATGTTGAAATTCCTGAGCATCATCTGTCTTTCTCCTTCTTGCTGCTCGACCTCTGCCCCTACCCTCCATCATGGCTACAGCCCCTGCCAGGCTGTGGCTTCCTGGCTCATATCTTGGGCTTCATCTTCCATCTTAACTTCCATTCTCATGGGTTTCAGTTACCCACTGGACCTCTGACACTGTCGGACTGTCCCATGGTTGCCCCGTAGACCACCTGTGCGGAGTGGAACTCATCTTCTCAAACCTGCTTCTGACTGCGCCATCTTTGGGAGTGGTGTTCTCACCTGGTCCTCACACTGGAAGCCAGGCTAACTCACTTCTTCCTGCTCTCTCCCACCCTAACACCTGTCTGTCTCTCTGTCTCTGCCTTGTGACAGTGTCTCTTAAATACCTCTCCAAACTCTCCTCTCCTTTTGATCACTATCACCACTGCCTTAAAATGAGGCCCCTATCCTCTCTTGTCAGCTGCTGCAAGAGTCCTGGAATTGGTCTCCTTATTTGTCACAGAGGCGAGGTTTTGTCCTCCTTTGAGTCTCTAACTATACCCAGAATCCCGGTCTGTCTTCCTTTACCAGCCATGGAACTTTGACCAAGTTACTACATTCTCAGACTCAGTGTCCTTATTTGTCAGAGATCAAAATAATACCTTCCTCAGAGGTTTGTCAGGAGAGTTGACAAAACAATAATACACTCCACGTAAAGCACTTAGCGGGGTCCCCAGCATGCGGGAGAGCGCCTCCGTAAATAGTGGCTGTCTGGGGTCTGTTCCATTGCCTCAGATCATGTTCCTTTCTTTCTCTGTGCTTTAGGCACCTGTCACTTATAGGTAAGAGTCTAACAACCTCAAGGGAATAAGGGCCACATAATGACTTTGGCCTTGGTGGGTTTCTTCCTCCATTAAAAAATGGTATTAAGAATTATATTTTGGGGCGCCTGGGTGGCTCAGTTGTTAAGTGACTGCCTTCAGCTCAGGTCATGATCCCAAGGTCCTGGGATCAAGCCCCGCATCGGGCTCCCTGCTCCACGGGAAGCCTGCTTCTCCCTCTCCCACTCCCCCTGCTTGTGTTCCCTCTCTCACTGTGTCTCTCTCTGTAAAATAAATAAATAAAATCTTTAAAAAAAAAAAAAAGAATTATATTTTGTGACTATGTTCTGACTTTAAAAGAACTTAAAACATTTTTTTTTAAAGATTTTATTTATTTATTCATGAGAGAGAGAGGGGCAGAGGGAGAAGCAGGCTTCCCACGGAGCAGGGAGCCCGATGCGGGACTCGATCCCAGGACCCTGGAATCATGACCTGAGCCGAAGGCAGACGCTTAACCATCTGAGCCACCCAGGCGCCCAAGAACTTAAAACATTTTCCTTTTTAATAGATTCACAAGTTTATGCACATATCACCACAATCTAACTCCAGAACATTATCATCACCCAAAAAGACATCCCATACACATTAGCAGTCACTCCCCCTTTCCTCCCCCACTCCCATCAGCCCAAAACAGATATTGATCTACTTTCTGTCTCTGGAGATTTGCCTATTCTGCGCATTTCATATCAATAGAATCACACAATATGTGGTCTTTCCTGACCAGCATTGTTTACTTGGCATCGTGTTTTCAAAGTTCATCCACGTCATAGTGTGTATCACTACTTCCTTCTTTTTAATTGCTAAATAATGTCTCATGGTATAGTTTTACATTTTTGTTTATTCATTCATCAGTTGATAGACATTCAGCTAATATGAATAATGCTCCTGTGAACATTTCTTTATAAGTTTTTATGTGGGCAGATCTTTTCATTTCTCTTGGGTATATACCCAGGAATGGAGTTGCTGGGTCATATGGTAAAACTATGCTTAGCATTTTGAAGAACTACCGAACTGTTTTCCAAAGTCGCTGCCCTGTCTTAACATTCCTACTAGTAATGTTCTCTGACAAGTGATTTTAGAACCCAGCACAGGTATTTGCACTTGACATGGGAAGAGTTCTTATAGATTTTTGAGCATTGTGAAGGTGATATTATTGGAATGTTTGTGGCACATTGATGTGGAATGAGAATTCAAAGCCCAGGAAGCAGGTGGGAAATGTTGGAATAATCTAATGCTCAGCTGAGGGCGCCTCTGTTGGGATGATGGCAGGCGAAAAAGATGTCAGGGTTCCTGGAGCTCAGAGTGGACAGTGGAAATGATTCTCAGGTAGAAAAATGATGTTCACCCGAGACCAACTCTGAGATGCTTGCTCGACCTTTGCTTTTTGATCTTGATATCACAGAAAATACATTTCTGTTTTCAGAGAAGCAGGCAAGTCTTGCCATTATGTGATAGAGTGCTGTCCTGTGATGGGAGCAGAGTTGTTGGCCTTTGACTGGTCTGGGGGTACCTTTCTGGGAGGTTCGAATCGTCCTCAGCTCTGTGGGCTGCTCCTCATGAAAGCGGAGGGCACTGTTTACATCTCCGCTCTGTGTTCTTCCCGCCAGTAGGAGCAATGGGATTTCTGTGGATAAAGTGTTTTGTGTATGTGTGTGTGTGTGCACGTGCACATGCTCGTGGGTGTGCTAAGTAACTTCGCTTGAGCATTCAAAATGGCAAAAGGGAATGAGAGCCCTTAACAACAAAAGTCTTCTAGCCGAGAAGTAAAACCTCCCATAACTCTTGGATTTCAGGATTGCCCATCAAGCTGTTTATTGTATAATGGAACAGTAGTAGATATAAAGCTGCCACCATCCTGGGAACTTGCAATTGCTCAGTGAGGCTCGTTACAGAGGCCTCCTACTCCACTTGGCATGGTTATCACCCTTGTGGGTTTTTTTTTTCCCCCTCTATGATTTATTCTCAAACATTCTATATTTCCTTTTGCCATTTAGATGAAATTTAAATAAAACCATTAGGTAAAGAACTGTGTCAGATTGTTACACACTTCAAACTCATGATAAAACCAATCTGTATGTCATTCTCTGTTCAAATGAAGCAAAAGCACCTCTGGTCTGGCCGTTCCTTGCGACTGGCTGTTCTTTTTTTGTGTCGTGCGTGTAGCTCGTGGAGTATCAAGGCTTGTCATTGCCCCACGTCTGTCCCATTTCCTGTGTCCTTCTTGGTCTGCATTTGTCCCAGTTTAGATAGTCTCTCCCTTTTGTGGACCCCCATCCACTCAGCTCCCCAGAGGAGGGAGAAGCTCCTTACTGGGAATTAAACTTAGTTCCAGAACTCTCAGTTGCCCCTACGTTCCCCTTAATATGATGGTGTTCAGGGCACATTCCTGGATTGCTCTATCGAGGAAGTAATTACCCGTGACGGGTAATGGTAGACTTGGCACTGAAGCATATATCTGAGCTTGAGTGACATAGCCTGATGTGGTGGCTTTCAAATAATGGTTTTTCCTTCCTTTTTCTAGGCTTATCCAAGTCCCTTGGGCTCATTGAAGGTTATGGTGGGCGGGGCAAAGGGGGCCTTCCTGCTACCCTTTCCCCGGCTGAAGAAGAGAAAGCCAAGGGACCCCATGAGAAGTATGGCTACAATTCCTACCTCAGTGAAAAAATTTCACTGGATCGTTCCATTCCGGATTATCGTCCCACGAAGTAAGTTGCGATTCAGTCATTCAGAGCGGCTGGCTACATCACAGCATGGGGGCAGCCCTGAGTCTGTGACATGTTCTCAGGTCCTTTGGGACCAGCAGAGGGGCTTCTGTCTTACTTAGTGTCCTTCACAGTCAACAAATGGAGTACTATGCATTATGAAATATTATCTAAAGTCTTGACATTTTTATAAAAGTAATCCAGAAACACATAGGAGGGTCCTCAATACAAAAAGTCTTAAGTAAAACACAAAACTCGCCATGATCTCATTACCTAGAGGCAGCAGTCGGTCAAATTTTGGCATTTTGTGTTTGAGTCCATTTTCTATACAGATTATGAGCATGTGATGTATTGTTTGGATCTTTCTTCCATTTAATATTATTTCATGAGCGCGTGCTGTCATTAATCATTATTAACGATGATCATCCTGATGACCATTTCGCATCATTATTTCCGTTGTTGGAAATTCAGGGTATTGTCGGTTTGTCATTATTATAAATAACCATTTGATGAATATCTTGCCACTCACATCCTCGTGTGTTGTGATTTGGTATTTATTTTCTCAAGCCACACTTCTGAAAGTATAATGCTTATGCCATATCGTAGGAGTACTCTGGAGGCTCTAGGTACATCTTGGGATACTGTCCTCCAGAAAGTTGATGGCAGTCCGCACTCATTGGAATCTTACTTGATCCTTCCCAAACTGGGTACTCGTGTTTCAAAAATGCTTTGCCAAGCTGATGGGTGAGAAAGTGCGTTCCGTGATTGTTTCATCTTCCACTGTTTAGTTTGAGGGTGTTACCTTTAACCAATTTGTTTGGGTCTTTTGTCTCAGGAAAAGTCTTTGTTCTGTGGGCTCAGATTTAAGAATTATTTGTGTTCTCCTTCGGAAATGGAGAAGAGGGATCGGTCATAGAATCAGGACGCTGGAGGAAAACCTATTTTCTAGGCAGGCGTCCACATTGGCTTAACAGGGTTCTTTGTTTTCTTAGAGTTGTAGTGTCTCTTTTTTTTCCAGTTTAGAGTGTGTCCTTGCTTAGAGTAGATTATTTCTTTTTCAAATGGATTTTGGACAAATCGGTTAAGTATCCTGGTTACTGAGAAAAATAGATTCAAGATAAAGAAAATTATCTTAAATGGATTTAAAATTGCAGCATTAGCCAAGGAACCTGCTAAATCTCTCTCTGCCTAATAAACATATATTCCTTTTGAATCACTAGGAAAACATACATCACCCCTGTTGGAAGCTATTTTGCGTTCCTGGACCTTGGCTCTCAAACACATCTGGCTGTTTTCATTTCCTGGTGCTCTCTGATTAGCCTTTCTTATTTGGACGTTGGCAAATAAACAGAGCCATATTTTTTTTTTTTTTTTTTCCCGCCTTTGAGAATGAAAATGTTTCCAATATGGAGCTTACTGAAGTGGGTCAGTTGAACACATATTAGGAGCACCTATTTTGTGCCAGATGGTTTTCCCCACACTAGAGGCAGGACATTGGAAAAGACACAGTCCTTGCTTACTTCTTATCTAGGGAGGGAGGCAGACTTATAGACAGGGTGATTTGGTACACTATGGTCTGTGTGGTGTGTGTCAAGCCAGAGATAAATGCAGCCTGTGTGGGGAAGATCTGGAAAGTTTCCCGCTTGAGATGATGCCTGAGTCTGATCTTGAAGTGTCATTAAGGGTTGGGAAATGAATGAAAGGAGGAGGATAGGGATGGACCAGGCAGGGGGACAGCAAGAGCAGAGTTGGGAGCAAATAAAAACATGGTTTACTTGGGGTTGGGGGGATGCATAGCTCAACATGCTCTATAAATTAGCATACTGTCTTGAACATCCCACTTGTATCTGGCCCCCCCCTGGCACTTTACTAAGATGATAGTAAAGAACCAGAGACGATGTAACTTATAAGGGATGACTGAACAGGTTAGGGGATGACTGCAGGGAAGAAACACCCACAAAATTTTGGAAGATTGAAAGAGGGGGAATGAATGGTAACTGACAGCAGACTGGATGAGGCTGGGAGCCAGCCTCCTGCCTATGGTGGGAAGACCTGAAGAATGCAGCCTAGTCACACCTCAGAACCCCAGAGACCTGGGCATTGGAGGTTCTGTGTACTTCCGATGGGTGGGAAGTAGATTTGAAAAGAAGGATTGCATCTGTACCCCCAGATTCTGTCTCCAACACTGCCCCTGGCAGAATATGGGAGATTTGCTCTCTGGAAAAGGTGAACTCTGGGCTTGAGTTCGTAAGATGTAGCCTAGGACAGATGGTAAGACTGCATACCATCTGGGGACATCCTCAATGTCATTACCCCTCCGGGCTTGTACGCCCCTGTAAATCAGTACTTGGAAGAATCTACTCTTGAAACAACCAGCCTAAGAAAAGGCTAACAGATGTGGTAGTTGGCCCCCCCTCCCCAAATGTCTGAGTTCTGCTCACTATTAGTAAGGCATGCCTGTTGTAAAACTCCATTTGTCTTCACATAGCTGTCTCACTCCGAAAAAAGAAAGAGAGCTAGGATCTCTGGACATCCCAGGAGAGTCTTGGTTACAAAAGACCTTAACAACAATGACAACAGGGGGTGCCTGGGTGGCTCAGTTTTTAGGTGTCTGCCTTCAGCCCAGGTCACGATCTCAGGTGAGAATAGAAAAGAAGTCTTGGGAGTTACAAATAAGATAGGAATAAATCAACAAGAGAGTGGAAGATAGCATTGAGAAAAACATCTGACAGATCAAAAAAAAAAAAAAGAAAAGAAAAATGGGAGAGAGAAATTAAAGCAGTTGTATCAGTTCAGTAGGTCCAACATTAACTAATAGGAGTATTGGAGAGAGAACAGAAAACACGGAAAGAAGAAAATCACCAGACCAAGGATGGAGCACTATTTCCCAGGTCTGTGGGACATGAGCTTTCAGGTTAGAAGGTCCCACCCTGTGTCTAGGGGAGGAATGAAAAGAGAAATTAAACCCACATCAACAAATGTAAATGTTTTTTGTACAACTCCTCAGAGCAACCCTCTATTTTCTAGCTGGCATGCTGTCTGATTCGTGAATCATTTAGTAAAGCCAGTTAAATTCTCAAGTTTTATTTTATTTATTTATCTATCTATCTATCTATCTATCTATCTATCTATCTATCTATCTATCTATCTATTGAGAGAGCACATGTGCACACGTCCACAGGGGTAGACGGGAGGAAAAGAGGAAGAGGGAGAGAATCCTCAAGCAGACTCCCTGCTGAATGTAGAGCCCAGAGTGGGGCTTGATCCCAGGACCCTGAGATTGTGACCTGAGCTGAAATCAAGAGTCAGATGCTTAACCGACTGAGCCACCCAGGTGCCCCCGATCTTCAAATTAAAAAAAAAAAGTAAATGTAAAATTTCAAAACAAGTAAATATATTATATGTAAGTAGGGTCTCCACAAGTGTACCTTCCCTGCATCTGTTTTCAGGAAGCTATTTAAGGATATGCTCCAGTAAAACAAGGGAGTAAAGTAAGAAAGAGAATGATAATAGTGTAGAAGAAACAGGGGACTCAAACAGGAGCGTACAAAAGGCAGATCCTGGGAAGCTGATGAAGGGATGCTCCAGGGTAACATTTCAGGGTCACAGCTGTGTGGCAGGTCAAGAGAACACCCATTCCACACTGGAACAGGAGGATGGAGGGCTGTATGATGTATGTCGCCAAAGGAGGCCAGGGGACAGAATAGCTTGATTACCTAGTGTTTTTGATGGCATCCAGAATTATTATTATTGTTATTATTGAAGCATAATTGACATACAACCTTATATTAGTTTCAGGTGTGCAACATAATGATTTGATGTTTGTCTACATCGTGGAATGACCACAAATCTAGTTAACGTCTGTCAGTACACATAGTTACAGGTTGTTTTTTTCTTGTAATGAGAACCTTTGAGATCTACTATCTTAGTAACTTTCACAGGTGAAATACAGTATTATTAACTAGAGTCACCATGCTGTACATGACATCCCTAGGACTTATTTATTTTATAACCAGAAGTTTCTTCCTCTTGACTCCTTTCATCCATTTGGCCTACTCCCCACCCCCTGCCTCTGGCAACTACCAGTCTGTTCTCTGTAGCAATGAGCTTATTTTGTTTGTTTTTAGATTCCACAGATTTGTCTTTCTCTGTTTGACTTATTTCACTTAGTCTAACGCCCTCAAGGTCCATCCATGTTGTCATAAATGGCAGGATTTCATTCTTTTTTATAGCAGAATAGGAGTCCATTTTGTGTGTGTGTGTGTGTTTGTGTGTGTGTGTGTATCACATTTTCTTTATTCACTCATCCACTGATGGACATTTAGATTGTTTCCATTTCTTGGGTTTTGTGAATAATACTGCAATGAACATGGGGGTGCAAATATCTTCAAATTAGTGTTTTCTTTCTTTCTTTCTTTCTTTTTTTTTGGATAAATACCCCAAAGTGGGATTGCTGGATCATATGGTAGTTCTATTTTTTACCTTTTTGAGGCACCTCCATACTGTTTTCCATAGTGGCTACACCAGTTTGCATTCTCACCAACAGTGCACAAGGATTCCCTCTTCTCCAAATCTTCACCAACACTTATTTCTTGTCTTTTTGATATTAGCCAGGTGTGAGGTGGTATCTTGTGGTTTTGATTTGCATTTCCTTTATGATTAGTGATGGGAAGCATCTTTTCATGTACCCTTTGGCCACCTATATCTCTTCTTTGGAATAATGTCTGTTCAGATCTTCTGCCCAATTTTCTAATTGGATTGTTTGATTTTTTGCTATCGAGTTGTATGTATACATTTATTTATTTATTTATTTATTTAAAAAAAATTTTTTTTTTAAGATTTTATTTATATGAGAGTGAGAGAGCACAAGAGGAGGGAGGGGCAGAGGGAGAAGCAGACTCCCTGCCGAGCAGGGAGCCCGATGCGGGACTCGATCCCAGGAGTCCAGGACCATGACCTGAGCTGAAGGCAGTCACTTAACCGGCTGAGCCACCCAGGTGCCC